GCTATGCTAGCTGGTATAATGGAAATTGTAGCCCTCATGATTTTAATTGGGAAAGGCTGACCTAGTCTAATGACTATTGCCTGTCTTGTAGAGTAAGTCAACAACTGAACCAGAGGAGACATTCCTGTGCTCTTATAATCCTGAAAAAACAGATGTAAACCATCTTGATATATTGCTGCTTGCTTACTGTAGCATGATGCAAGCATCTATTCTGAAGGCTCTATTCTGGAGACACATCTTTAAAGGTACAGGATCACAATCAGACACTAATTTAGCAAACAACCCCGTCCCTTAAGCCCCTTCAGCATCCTGAATGAAAATCAAGATACATTTGATTTCCTGGGGTGAAAATTAGAAGACTACATATGAATTTTCCAGAACATATGCTAACTCTTTGAACCTTTGAGATTGCACTTGTATGAATCTAAGTAGACAGCATATGTACTCTGCTTGCAGGTTTAGTGGACTCTTGATGTAAACTGATTGTTGGTAAAGAGCATGAGATTTGGTCCCACACTGCTTGAGTATGTATGCTACTGCCTGTGCATTGCCCAAATGCATTGCTTTTTGCTGTATAACAAAAATTCTTGAGGCAAGCAAATTGCTTAAAATTCCAGAACATTAATACAAAAGGTGCTCTGCATTTGGGATCAGCTCCTCTCAATCAAGAGAGAGTTCATACTTGCTCCCAGCCACTTAAGAATAGCATCTGTATTAAGCTCAAAATTGCTTCTTTCCACCATCTCAGTGTTATGCAATTGTGGTGGAGAAATTCTAGCATCCCTTGCAATCATTTCTCAGTTGGATAAAAATTAAATAAACCAGCACCCCAGGTAGGATTGCAATGCATTGATCAACCTGTTCTTGTTGGGAGATAGAAATGTGAAGCAATAAATTAGATCCACTTCCATGAACAGTCCGGACTCCTTGTATATCCAGATGAGACTTGCCCAAAGCTAGAATTGTAATTAAAATGACATTAAGGTGACAGTAGATATGAAAATCATCATGGAATCATACTATGTCACTTGTCCAAGGAGAGGGAGAGAGCCCAAAAGGCAAAGCGCAATACTTAGGTTATCTGATGAAAGAAACTATCTGATCTGCCAAGGGTGAGAGGAGTGTGGGTTTCTCTAAATTCCCCTGGATCCCAACCTTTCTCAGTCACCATCATATGATAACACTCTGAGAGCAAAGTCTACACCTTGCAGTCTCTGAGAAGCTGAGATGGCATCATTAAGTGGGGGAGTTAGCTTAAAGCAATGCTGGAATTGCTGGGACTAGGTGGGTTGCATATCGTGTTACAGCCTCCTTTTAACATGTTTCAGAAAAACTTAAAAATTCATTTCAGTAACTCATGGGGAGGGATGCCATCAAAAGTATTTCAGTTCCTTGGAAAAATTACACACAATTAAGTTGGGTAAAATGCCTAAAATGCTTTTTCTTCCTACATCAAGCCACGGACAGCAGAAACAGGAGTAAATATTGACAGAATCCTGGAATTTCAATTTGTGAGGAGGAAATAAAACTCGGGTTTGTGGGAAAGATCAAGTGTTAAGACCATTTATTTATTTATTTATTTATTAAAACATTTTTA